ACGTCCCAAATTACTTTTGATTGATTGGATTAATTGATTGGATAATTCGTCCCAAATTACTTTGGATTAGATTAATATTCATATTCTGAGATGCATTCGAAAAATTTTGTAGGATATATGTTACTAAGTAGTATACACGATATTTGAAGTAAAATATTTTTTTTTAAAGAACATAATTTTATTCAACTGACTTTGTTTGTAGCAATCTTGAAAGTATGATCTTAATAACTTTTTGAGGAAGGCGGTCAAAAGTTTGAGTCCTTTAAAGTTAATTTTACTTTTTGCGTATTTCGTCAGAGCTCTTGAAATTTTTAATTAAAATTTTTGCATGAACTTATAACGTATATTTAATTACTATCTAAACACAATTTTTAGTAATTTATAATTTTTATTATTCATTTTTGTAATACTTCTAAAGCATAAAAAAATTCATATTGTTCAAAATTTTGTCGATGTAACCGACAACATAAAAAATAAACGTTTTTTGTAAAATAATACAAACAAGTAATGCAACTTTAAAATTGTTGTATTTTTAAACTTTCATTTCACTAAAGTTATGAGGCAGTTTGATTTACTTTTTGAATTTTCTCAGAAAAAAAAGTGAAAAATCTATGTTCCCCCAATGCGAACACTTTATCTTCATTCTCGAATAATTGAAAAAAAAAATTATAAATTTTTTTTTTATAATTATAAAAATTTCTTTATAATTATAACTTATTAATATCCTATTGTTTTAATTTTGTTAAAAATGTTATATATTTCGAAAAATAAGGTGAAATTCAGGATGTAAAATTAACATTAAAGAGTCCAACTTTTCAACTACCCTCTTGACAAAATATGGACTGTATGAAGCTTCAAAAATAATAAAATATTTTTGTTCAAATTAAAATAGCTTCTGAATTTTTTATCGTAACAATTAAAATTTAACGCAAAAAAACAAGCATCAAATTTATAAACGAATGCGAAAAAAAAAACTCGAGTTAATTTATTCCATTATAAGAATGATTTTATTTTTTTTTCATTGCATTTTATTCGTGTACAGTAACTAAGTTTCTTCTTACTTTTAAAAATTTTAGTTTTTCCGTTTGGAACTTACATAACATCTATAATATTTTTAAACAATAATATTTTTTAAACAATGATATTTTTAAACAATCGTTCATATCTTAAACTTCACATGCATTGAATCCAAAAATGAAAGCATGATCTTGGAACTTACATAACATCTATAATATTTTTAAACAATAATATTTTTTAAACAATGATATTTTTAAATAATCGTCTATATCTTAAACTTCACACGCATTGAATCCAAAAATCAAAGCATGACCTTGGAACTTACATAACATCTATAATATTTTTAAACAATAATATTTTTTAAACAATGATATTTTTAAATAATCGTTTATATCTTAAACTTCATATGCATTGAATCCAAAAATCAAAGCATGACCTTGGAACTTGCTTAACATCTATAATATTTTTAAACAATAATATTTTTTAAGCAATTATATTTCTAAATAATCATTTATATGTTAAACTTCACATGCATTGAATCCAAAAATCAAAGCATGACCTGTTTTTGCATTTAATTTGAAAATAAATGAATGTATAAACAAGAAATTTTAAAGAGATGTGTTCTGAACAATCTTTCATAGAATGTGATATCGAAATTTGCTCAAATTCAAATGCAAATATAATTAAAAACAAAATAGCACACTTATCAGAATAGTCATTTCTCGAATAGTCATTTATCAGAATAGTCATTCCCAGTTTTGTGCTAAAAATGGTAACATTTCCATTTCAGTTTTTCCCATGAACTGAGAAAGGACTTCCTTTATCAATTATGCTGGTTTATTGAAAAATCACGTTTGCTTTTAAATTAATGTAAATTTCAATATACTCTATAAAGGATTGTTCAAAAAAATTTTTTTTTTCAAAATTTCTTGTTTCTATGTTCTTTTATTTTTTAAATAAATAAAGAAAATAGGTGCTACTTGAACTTTCAGAGGATAGTGTATTTCATACATTTTTGAGATTCCTGGATCCAAAAGGATCTAATTGTTTAAAAAGAGTTCTACTTGATATGGAATGACCCAAATGTTTATGGTTGAAACGCTTATAATCCCACACTATGCATTTGCCACTTCGCCAAATGCAATAAAATTGTAAATTTGGCGGATAAAATTGTATTTTGGAGAATGAATTTTTCCATTGGAGTGAAAAATGTATATTTAACTCGATCTTCAAAATTACGTCAAAATGAATTTTTCCAAAGAAATCAGTATTTTTTTTTTGATTTAAGTAATTTTCGGTAAATGAGCCGCATCTACCGAAATTGGGTTTTGAATTGGGTTTAAATAATGTAAGCCTGAAACAAACTACCATAAAATAGTTTACTGTGGGAAAATATTAATCATAATAAGTTTACAAGATTTCCATTTGGCGAAAATTGGCAAATACTTTTGACATTTGGCTAATTTACTGGCGAATAATTTGAAATCCTCAGCGCAGGCCCTATAATGGTATTTTATGTAAGACATACAAAACATTGCCGCATCAAATAGTATGAGTTAACAAACTAAGCTGCGTGGTTATAAAAGTTGCTGCTCATAATAGAATAACACTAAAAATAATCATAAATAATAAACTCATGAAACCATTATTCCAAAAATCTATATAATGTTTTGAAATCATAACTTAATGTATATCTTTAGAATCGTTGTTGAAAATGAAGCCTAAAATATATATACCAAATGTCCTAAAAATATGATTTAAACAGGGAACAATAGACCGCTGTATGAATTTAAAAATTCGGTACTGAGGAAGATGGGACTGAAAACATCAAAAACAAGTTGTCTGGCGAAACAAACAATGAGGAGGTGAAGGGCCATTATTCCAGTGGATTTGATGGATTTGATTAACTGTCCACTTTCCCCGATAGTGATTCGGCAGATTTCGATAGCGTTTTCATTTTTTGTTTGTTATTTTCAAATCGATAGTGGGCATTACTCTTTTGTCTTCATTTTTGACAATGATTCTAAAAATAAATATAATTGAAACTTAGGTTTAGACTTCATACAAGATGGATAACAATTGCACGAAAATCATGAGGTGAAAAAAAAACGTTTATATGATTGCAATAAGAAAACGGTTATAAGACATACAGTACTAAGTTGTAGGTATGTAGATATAAATAAAAATATACTGTTACCCTTATAAATAAAAAATACATGGTTCGGATATAAATAATAAATATGATATATGAATATAAATAAAAATACAGTATACAGATATAACTAAGAATAATCTATAATAAACAAAAATAATAATGATAAATATATATAACAGTTTTCGAAAAAAAAATGATTTTAGGCTTTTAACATCAAGCACTAAGTTATAGGAATAAAAAATGAATAAAATTCTCGATAATAAAACAAAAATAAGGACTCACATAATAAAAACATATTTTTGTGTAAAAAAAATGTTTAAATAGAGAGAAACTAATTTATCCTGGTTTTGAGAGAAGCGTTTGTCCAGTGTTAACAAATTTTGTTTTATTGTATGACTTATGTTTAAGTAAGTGTGACTAAATACGTAATTGTCTATTACGATATATTAATAAATTAAAAGTACATATATAAAAAAGAGTTTGTTTTATTTATCATGATTTATAGATTTTATTTATAATATTTTATGTATTTTCGGAAATTTATTTCAACATTGTCATTTGATCTCTTATGTAAAGTTTCTCAATTGAAATCTTTTTTTCCAAAATCGTCCAGTAACCCTTTGATTAAAACAGTACTTTTCTACAATATGAAAGGCATTTTTTAAACAATATATTTAAACTTATCTAAATTATACCAACCAACATTTTGAATTTGCTGGTAGGTTAACTGAAATTAACTTCGTATGACTAGCGAAGGAAAACTGCAGCATTATAATCAAATAAATAATGGGAATAAATAACTTGAACGAGACGAAAATAATTTCGAATTGTGAGAAATAGTAATTTATAAAGGTAGCTATAAATCTTCGAAACATCTATAAAATGTTAAAACAACTTTATTAACGTCCACAATTTTTATCTAAAAAGATATCAGGTGTACCGGAAATATCAGTCAGCGAAAGAACACTTCCTATTGTACAAGGATGTAAAAGGTGGCTTTATAAAAGAAAAGGGATTTATCCTTAAGGGATTTATCCTTAAATGTCGGATGAACAGCTTAGGTCTGTTGGATAATTTCGTTACAGACTTGTCTATGTAAGAATGTGTGCTTTTTTGTGACATATATGCTGTCCATTTAATCTAGAACATTACTATTGAGGTAAAGGATAAATCTACCACTTTTTTTTACTGATGAACGTTTTACATTACTGTCAAACGAGGGGTGAACTTAAAAAGTGGACCTTGATAATGCATCGTGAACTTTCACGGGAAGATCTTTCTGCTAGAACAAATAATTAACTTTATATAAAATTCTTTCAGTTCTGGTTTTTTTTATTCAGGAGTAGTAAGCTAGCTGGGACCATGATTGTTATTAACGTTTAAAGTCAGAGGGTCTACCGGTCTCGAAATTCAATGATTTTTAAGGACTTTTGAGCTAATATTTAAGAAATAATTTATCCATGGAATCTGAATCCAGGAATAGACGTTAGTTTTTAAAAAGAAGTAGAAAATTATAAAAGATCCCCTAAAAGAGATTTTTCTTTGATATGGTAGACACTTTGAAAACTTATAGGGGGATATATCCGTTATCTTCAAGAAAAACAAGTGCTTGTGACTTGTGGTTGCTTCTCAAGGCGAAAAAGAAATATCAAAAATTCTTATCACCAGATTTTTTAATATTCCGCGTGAGAAGCAGCTTTGTTTAATAAAAGTAGAATGACTTTTAATTTATTTTTGCTGTCAGAACAAGCACAAAAAGAGCCTTGCTGGAAGATTATGCGGTCCTTAAATATTCGGTAACATATTAATAAAAGATAAAAAAAAACGCTTAGTATTTATACTTCACACGACCTTCGTGTCTTAGAAGGTGTCTAACGAGGCTACATTTGTGCTTGTATTTTTTCTGGCAGAACGAGCACAGAAATTGCTTCTCAGAAGAATGTGTCACCATGTGACCTTTCAAATGATACTTCCTTTTGCAGCTATAGGAGCATAAGTGACATTTATAGCCACGTACGTTAGAGTGCATGACGCAATGCACAAGCAGAGTAGATATTCTGCATGAAACATAATTACACTGCGCATGCTCACACCTATAAGGTGGACCTTCATAATGCGTCTCCATGTGACGATAAAATTCTCGATTGTAAGAGGACACAAAATGGCAGAAGTGGCATCGATATTCCATTCCCATCGCGTGTTTCAGTTTGTGCTGTTCTATTTTAGAACGTCGGTCACTGGAATAAATGCACTCATCGCATTTGAATTTTTTATTCGAAAATATTTTCATTGTTTTGCCATCGTAATCTTCTTCGTAGTTAACAGTGAATGTATTCGAGTATTTATCACGCTTATCAACGAAACCTTCATCTTTCATGAATTTGGGGTTTGCCATGTTGGTATCAGCACTGTTAGAGAACGTGAACTGATCCCAGTTGACTTCGTAATCTTCGAAGTAGTTCGAAGTGCTTTTATAAGAACCTTCGTGTGCTGTTTTGCTTCGGGTACAATAAGAAATTTTATTGTTTGAACCATTTTCATGATTCAAGTAATCATAATTTACGTTTGGACACCATTTAAAATCCGTTTTTAAAGTTGGCTTTACCTCTTTGCTGCTATATTCTTTTTTGCAATGAATGATGGGATGTTTTACATTTGCTTTCATGGGATGTTTTTCTTGGAAAGGCTGGTAAGGCGATGTATTCGCAAATTCTACACTATCTTTAGATTCATGCATATCATTTTCTTTTTTCTTTCTGCCTCGTTTAGCTTGAGGTTTTCTGTGTTTGTTGATTGAAAATTCAGACTCTTCTACACCCAGTTCATTTTTAATCTCCTCTTTCACAAAGGACCTATTGAACGTGATTTTCATTTTACCTTGCGAAGTCTGCTTTTTGGGTCTCATTCCAAAACTCTCGATTACATTATCTTCTATAGTAGAGTCGCTTTCAAAACCAAGCATCTCATTCAAGATGTCCTCTTGAGTTTGGATGGAATTATTTTTCAATTTATCACGTGGCCTGAAATTGTAACGCTGAAGTGCATTCCACCAATATTGTTTGTTCTCAGTTACTTTCGTTCCATTGTTTTCTCTCGTACAATCACCGTTAGTTTCATTTTGTTCTTTAGTTTTTTCAGTAATATTTTTACTGATTGCCTTTTTTCGAGAAGTGTTTTTAGCATTATTCTTTTTCAACAGATTTGATTTCTTTCTTTTCTTCTTTCTTGTTTTCCTCCCCTTCGATTTTACTTGTTTCGCTTCATTTTCAGCGTGATTATCTTGCGTCTCTTGCTTAACAGTCTCCATGAACTGGTTTGGCAAAAACTCTTCAACAGGAACAATTTCAGAAATATCGTATAGTTTCTGTTCATTTAGTTCAAATATTGAATTTTTACTGTTTGAATAAACATCTTCGCCAACCTCTGTTTTTATTGAGCTAGAACACATTATTGGTTCCTCCAAAGAAGATTTCCCGCTTAGAGTGTTCAGAAGGGACGCTGATTTTACTGGTAGCTCAATTCCTGTCAAATCCACAACAACAGGTTTCAGATTATAATAATCATTGTTTTCAGATACTGGCGAATCAAGGAAGCTTGGTTTAACGCCAAGGTACTCCACTTCCTCCAATTTGGGAGAACTGAATAGCCTTCGTTCACAAAACTCATCTTCGGTGGTGAAAAGCGTTTCCTTTTGACCACGACGTCCATAATCGGTTGAGTCTTGAATAACACTGTTTTCATCACAGCATTTAACTTTGATAGGATTGGTCAATTCAAAATCACTTCGATCAAGATAGTCAGTTTCTGTAGAATAAAATAGATGAGGAAGGAATGGGTTTCTGTCAATACAGCCATACTCATCGAATTCAGCTGGATCAACAGGCTCTGATTTTATTTTAATGTTTCCAAGTGAATCATTTAAATTGAAAAGCGTAGCATTAAAATTTCTGCTGGGATAATCTGCCGCATTAGTTGAATTGATCGATATTGTCTTCTGATTGTTGGAATGTGTCCTTTCGAGGGAAAATATTCCGATGTTTGAGGAGGGGAGCCAAACCTTGTCTGCAAACCCAGACATGATCTGCAAAGGAAATGAAAATTTGAGATTACTTTTGAGAGAATATTCGACCTTTAAACTCGAAAAACTCTATTACACTACGTTTTTATAATAACTCTTTTTTATGTCCTTCAGACTGGAATCTTGGAATTGAAATTTCGGGTACTTTCCAACTAGATAGAGTAAATTTGTATCAGAGCTCTGTACTTAATTTCAATGCATATTAATTACACTTACGATGTTCAAAATTTTTAAAAAAAAGGAAAGAATTTTCAATTGAGTGATCCAACTTTTTTCTACTAAAATGCAAATTTTATGGTTCGGTTCGAGGACGTAACTTTATCTATACTAATTAATTTGTGAAATCAGATATTTTAAGTTACAACAGATATTTCAATGTAATGTTTTTGCACGTACAAAAGTATGTACTAGCAGAGAGATATATATATAGAGAGAGTAGACCCTAGTTTACTTTTGGATAAGATTAATATGTTAACAATACATTTTGCATTAAACTATATTAATTATAATTTATTACTGATGAAATGATAATTTTTTTAACTATAATTTAATTAATAAAATGATTTTTATTTTTCTTGGAAAAAAGAAACGTTTTTTTAAGAAAACAAAAGAGTACCCAATGAGAAGCATAATGTTTGATCAATGATGCGAGCAGTGGTAGGACTCCTTTTTGTAGCTTTACAAAAATTAAGTAGAAAATGATCTTTACTATGGAAAGCTCAAACTAAACTTGGTACATTAGTGGCATACTTTAAGAGCTTTCGCTTCTTAGGAAAATAAAACTCACAAGCCAGCCAATTTCGAGAAAAACTCATTTGAAAATTGAAGCATTCTTCATATACTAGTTAAATTTTTATGTTAATAACGGCGCAGTGGTCTGAGGCATTGTTTCCCAAACTTATGACTTCTGTGTACCCTTTCTAAATTTTCCTTAACGCTGTGTACCACTAATAAAATAATGAATGTATTTTTTACTATAAAAAATGCTCAAAAGTTAAAAATCACAACTGGCTGTTGACACCACTATATTAACTGTTAACTCTGCAAAAAATAACCAATAGAAAAATACGTAATCGTAAATTTTCATGGCTAGCTTTGTTTTTAAATAAAATGTTTCGAAATTTTTTTTGTTGCAAGATATTTCGCATAAGAACGTGTACCCCATCTAAACTGTTCTCGTACCCCTGGGGGTATGCGTACCACACTTTGGGAAACACTGGTCTAGGGGTAAGAAAACCTGCTTACAAACGGAGACACTTTCTAGATTTAAAATCTGAAATATGACTTATTGATTCTCACGCATTTCCATGATTAAGTTTTTTTTTCATTATTTCACAAATAGTGTCACTTTAAATATAATTTTACAGTTTTTTTTAACTATAAGGCATTGATTGACATTGCAGCATTTTTTTTCGCTTTTTTATTGAAGATATATGTTGACAAAAAGTTTATTATTATATTATCAATTTAAATAAATATTATTTTATTTTATTGAGTTTTTCAGTTAAATTCAATCTTACTTTAGTTAAATCAATTTAGATAATTCAATCTTAGAATGAAATTATACGGATTAAAATAATATTTATAAACAGTGGTTATAATAAATTAAAAGTTAGATTTTAAACAAGTTCCTCCAAAATAAACTGGTCTCGTATAAACTTGCGACGGTCATTTTTACAAACGGGTAAAAAAAATTTTATGAAGCTTTAACAGAATTCTGCAGATTTACTTGAACAAAATCGAAAAATAAGTTTATGAAATATGACTTGTACGCTTCTAAACTTTCAAAAGATCTTTTTGAAAATTAATGAAGCATGCTTTTCAGTAGATTAACTTCAAAAATGTTGATCATGTTAATAATCATCATTTATTAACTGTATTTATTAACTGCGCTTATTTAACTACGCCTCATTTATTAACTTTGCAAATGATTTTTTGTTTTAAAATCTTTCACGATAATTATCATCTAGATTATTGTTTATAAAACAAAATATATAATAAAATTAATTTAAAAAAAATCTAAGATTTAAGCTATTATATATTTGCCATCGTAAT